ACACACACACACACACACACACACACACACACACACACACACACACACACACACTGTATGGAGTATCCCTGATGCCATCACCCACAACATCCTCTCAGTTTATGTCCCACATGCAACGTTGGGCATCCTCTGCCTGCACCCGTAATTGGATCTCCTCTATCCTTCCCAGATGAGCAACAGATGCAGCAGCCTGAGGCGCAAAACAGACCCTCACATGAACCGCGTACAGTGTGCTGTACTGAAAGGTTATCACTGGCAGGGCGAGCTGTTGCAGAATCGTGCAGCAACTAAAACCCTTACTTTGGATCAGGCCCGGTCATCGCCTGTCCAATATTGGCTGCAGAAACCCAAGGAACCTGCTCGATGCCGCACTGTGATGACCCACCTGAGATTGGCTAGCATGTGATTGCCATGCTTTGTGTCGTAAGGGTTATGAGGGCATAGCCCGTGCAAGTTTTTTGTTTCCATACGTTTGACGACAGTCAACATTGTACCCGTGTTTGTACCTGTGTATGTATGACACACTGACATGGCATGGCAATGCCTATACAATTGCGGTTGGCGTGCCTCCATGTTCCTATCACGTAGGAGCCACGTAGTCTGTGACATCTGTCTATGCCGTGCCATTCGATGGGGCAACTACAACTGCGAGACTCGGATGCGTTGCTTCCACACTGCATCCACAGTCCCCACCGTCCGAACCAGTCTTGTCCGGCCGGTAGGGGTTGCAACTTACCATAATAGGAAATGCTTGTCCCTCAAACTCAAAAATTTCCCTGCAAGCCAAACACTGACTGACTGACCTCTTGTGCCATTCTATAGTATGTGCCATTCTATAGTAGTCTGCCCCAGCGGTGAGCATTGCGAAAGAACCCTGTGAAGTTTGTCTTTCCTCTGTTCTAGTCCTTGATCTCCACTTCCCTCATGTCCTCCCCCTACCCCTTTGCTTCCTACTTCCCCTTCCGTAGTACTACTAAATGCATATGGATGCGCATCGGGCCTCGCATGGGAGGGCTGCAGCGCAATGACCTTGGAATCCATCTTGCGGACCGTGACGTCCCAGAGGCAGATGAGGACACAGACACAGGCCCAACGATTGAGGTCAGACCGCAGAGACAGCCACATAATTCATTTATCAAGACTGCATTCCAAAGGCGCCCCTCGCTCACATGCTAATTGCCGGAACGGCCACTCTGCCATCTCCTCTGTCATTTGCTGCTTAAAGGCTACATAGTACATTATCATATATCAAACAAATGTTTCAAGATTGTGACTTTGGCTCCATGGACTGATGTTAAGGATCGCTGGACCCAGTTTCCAGCAGGTGGAGCTCCCCACCAATGGAACGGAGCCATCAAAAAGTGAGGGACCAGTGGAGGGGGGGGTGTCCACTCCTACCGGCACCCACCCCCATGCCCTGCGGCCGATAATTCTTCTTCTTCTTCGAAAAAAAAAGAAAAGAAAGACAAAAGACGACATATAAGCTGAAGATCTGAGGGAAAATGATCAGTAGTATACCTACCCATTTACTCTGCCTCCTTTCATAGCGTGCAAGCGGGCCGCTTTGGCACACGGGGATGTCGGGATGTGGGGAGCTTGTGCTCAACCGCAATCAACATGGCAACGCTTGCACGTTAGAGGCACGGCAAAAGGGAAGCTGCAAGAAGACATAAAAGGGGTACCCCGAGGGAAGCTGAAGTAAAGCTAGTGAAGAAAAGGATTGTACAAGGAAAACGCAATATAACAGATTTATTGTGCATCGTGTTGTTTACTACAGAGGTAAAACTGTTTCAGTGTTGGATTTGCTCATCTTTAGTGTGCTTCATTGTCTGATATAGTGTGCTAAAACTGCTCCCATTTTGGATCTACTCATCCGGGTGGAAAAGGGACCATTGTGATGACAACTTAGAGCACACAAACATAGGAACTTGAGAGAGAGAGAGAGAGAGAGAGAGAGAGAGAGAGAGAGAGAGAGAGAGAGAGAGAGAGAG